CTCTATTTTTAACACTTTCACTCCCACATCTGCAGCTGATGTTAACTGACCTCACCGAGAGACGAACGCTCGCTGCAGCATCGATTAAAGCACAATCGCATTAAGAGTCATGCAGCTCTAAGAGCTCGAATAAGTAACAAAGTAACGTTTGATGTTTGTGCTTCATCGTGAAGAAATGTGAAGTTTGCAGTGTGTGTGTGTGTGTGTGTGTGTCAGCCTGCTGACCGCCTGCCTGTTTCCCTGCAGGTGTACGTCGTGGTCAGTTGGATCCAGCTCGTCATGGCTGTGCTCAGGTCAGTGTCTTCATCCTCCACAGGCACAGCTGGAAAGTAAACAAAAGGCATTCATGAGTAATTTATTTTACTTCAGTCACGTTCAGTACTACTACATTTTACTACATTTTAGTGACATATACATTTGACCTTTTGATATGTAACGTAAGCAAACTGAGTAAGAGACCCACAGAGCTACAACCTAAACACCTACACGCTGTTTTTTACTATAAATCTCTGAAATCCTGCATTTTTAATACTGCGAGCGCTGAAGAAGACTCAGAGTCGTCATCTCGGCTGTTGGACGTTCCTGTACAGAAACTTGTTTGTAATGGGCTCAGAGCACATTAGGCTTTTATTACTGGTTCATTTACCCAGTGTGGGACCAGTGGGAAAGACCTGAGGGGTCAGAGGTCACAGCGCTCAGACAATAGAGGCAGACACAGTTCCAATCAGCTGTTTTTCTTTCACGCCATCCTTATTAAACACAGAGCTCTTCCCGTGAGGTTACAGTATTGTCAGGATGATGTGTGTTTGTGTTTGCAGCATTCTGGGTTCAGGCTCCATCATCTGCTGCCTGATGTTACGGGGACTCAGCCGGAAGCCCGAGGTCAGCCGCTTCTCTGTTCTCTGACGCTTTGCACAAACTGTGTGAGCTAAACTGTGGTCTGAACTTTAAAGTTAAAATAATGAAGAGGAAGTGCTTATAAAAGCTGGACGTGGCCGCTGTGAAATCACCCTTTGTGCTATCCAGTTCTCTTTTCCAAACCTCAGCCGAGCCGCTGATGTGAAACTAGGCGTGATGAGAGGGGGCTGAACACTGACACTGTACCTATTGTTCAACGCTTTAACGAGGTCAGATTTCCCCGGCGCAGAGGGGTCAGCAGCAAAGATGTACTGTCGTTCACATGTTTATATTCAGAGTCAGCTCTGCTTCTAACCTTCATGTGGATAAGAAGGAAAACATTACGTAACCGCTGGGTC